AAAAAAAAAAAGAAAAAGAAAGAAAAAAGGATAGAAACATAATACAAAAGATGAATAGTTTTGAACCCATAAAAATTAAAAATCCTTTGGGTATCAAAAGTACTCTAAATAAAATGTAAAGGCACTTCTTGTTTAACTCTCACAATAGCTTTGTGAAGTAGGTACTTAGCTTTAGAGAAGGGGAAACTGAGGCATAGAGAACTGACAGTGTGGAAATCAGTGCTTTCTATGAGATTGATGATTTTTCTGTGTGTGTATGTGAGAGTCTCACTCTGTCACCCAGGCTGGAGTGCAGTGGTGCAGTCTTGGCTCACTGCAGCCTCCACTTCCAAGTTCAAGCCATTCTCCTATCTCAGCCTCCCCAGTAGTTGGGACTACAGCTGCATGCCACCATGCCTGGCTAATTTTTGTTTTGTTTTGTTTTGTTTTTTGGAGACAGAGTCTCGGTCTGTCAGCAACACTGGAGTGCAATGGTGCCATCTCAGCTCACTGCAACTCCCGCCTCCCAGGTTTAAGTGATTCTCCCGCCTCAGCCTCCCAAGTAGCTGGGACAATAGACATGTACCACCAAGCCTGGCTAATTTTTGTATTTTTAGTAGAGATGGGGTTTCACATGTTGGCCAGGCTGGTCTCAAACTCCTGACCTCAAGTGATTTGCCTGCCTTGGCCTCCGAAAGTGCTGGGATTACAGGCGTGAGCCACTGCACCCGGTAAGACTGATGATCTTGGTGAAGCTGATAAAGTAAGAGGCAGAGTGTGGAGATAGCTCATTTAGTCTTTCCAACAGCCTTGGATATGAATCCCCGCTTTACCACTTAGGAAAGGTGATGGAAGGGCAGCTTTTTAGACAGTTGAAAATACTATACTTTCAGTCCATATTTTAAAGTGTTCACTTACACATGCTTTCTCATGATAACTATTTTGACCAAAAAAAATAACCTTTTTAGATGTCTTGAAAGGAACATCAGGTGGATCTTAAAATACGAAATCCAGAGACAGCAAGAACAAATTAGATGCTAATTACAATTCCTTTTACTATCCCTTATGGTATACTATACTGTCTCTAAAATAGTTGAAATTTTCAAGGCCACACTTGAATAGGTATAGTATAATATAGATCATTAACTACTTTTTAAAGAGATGGAAGGTAAAAGCCAAAACTGTATGAGCTGTTATCAATTAGGCGAAATAGAATAAAAGAGTTTCCAGCTATCATAATAATTTATTAGTGGGAAAATCTGGAATGAAGAAATTTAGAATTTAAATGTTGCTTAGGCCATCTTTAGGTAGATCCAATCAAGTTTAAAATTCTACCACGTCTTAGATGTGAGCAGATGGCTCACTGATGACGTTCAGTAAAATCTGCATAGTTGGTTTAAAATTTGACTTACCACAACGATATAATATTTATCTTCTCTAGAGTAACAAAATTTATGTTATATAATAACCTTGACATGTTTTCAAAATCATGTTAATTTGGTCTGTTTTCAGCTTTTTTTTTTTTTTTTTTTTTTTTTTTTTTTTTTTTGAGACAGAGTTTTGCTCTGTTGCCCAGGCTGGAGTACAGTGGCGCAGTCTCAGCTCATTGCAACCTCTGCTGCCTGGGTTCAAGCGATTCCCCTGCCTCAGACTCCTGAGTAGCTGGGACTACAGGCATCTGCCACCATACCTGGCTAATTTTTCGCATTTTAGTAGGGACAGGATTTCACCATGTTGGCCAGAATGGTCTCAATCTTCTGACTTCGTGATCCACCCACCTCAACCTCCCAAAGTGCTGGGATTACAGGCATGAGCCACCACTCCTGGCTTGTTTTCAGCATTTTTAAGGAATCTAGGAAAGCTGTAGGAAATGAAGTATCTATTGTAAACTTTTTATATCAGGCTTAACTACTGCTTTCTTGAAGTTTAGCAAAATGATAAAGGACTGTATGTTCTTCATTAACTACAGTCAAAACTGAATTTAATAATTTTTGATAGCTGTTTAGAATAACTGTTTGAATCTCTTCTATGAAGAGTATTTAGATTTTTAGCATTTGAGAGTCCTAATATACCCCCTTAAAATTCAGAAGACTTAGAGCCGGGTACAGTGGCTCATGCCTGTAATCCAAGCACTTTGGGAGTTTGAGGCAGGCAGATCACTTGCGGCCAAGAGTTCAAGACAAGCCTGGCCGACATGGTGAAACCTCATCTCTACTAAATACACAAAAAAATTAGCCAGGCATGGTGGTGGATGCTGGTAATTCCAGCTACTCAGGAGGCTGAGGCATGAGAACTGTTTGAACTCAGAAGGCGGAGGTTGCAGTGAGCTGAGATTGCACCACTGCACTCCAGTCTGGGCGACAGAGTGAGACTGTCTCAAGAAAAAATAAAAATTAATAGTCTTTATCATTTAATTCCTTTTATATACATATATGCTTTTAGACATGTGTAAGTATAATTTAGTACATTTTATTTTTTTCCCAAACAGATAAACAATCAGATTCTGTATGGAAGAAGTCACCAAAATGCATCTGCCATTATTAAGACTGCCCCATCAAAGGTCAAGCTGGTTTTCATCAGGTAAGATTGCTGGATCTGGTTTTGCAAAATCAAAGATCTCTTCTGAAGATGTTATTAGTGTGTGACTATGTCATATTTGATTTGTCTAACAAAATCACTGTTCCTTCTAAAAACACATATTCCTTTTGTAACTGTCACTTTAAGAAAGTATTAACTGTTTTGATTATGAGATTTTTTTATTTGCTTTTCATGTTTCACAGGATAGAATTGGTAGCTGAGGCTAGTACTTATATTTCAGTTACAAAACATTCTTCCCTTTCCGGATCCATTTATCTTGTATATAAACATAATGAAACCTGCTAACATCTCTTCCTGTCGCCATTATTTGGCACATTAAGAATTAACAGGAAAACAGAATTGAGGGCATTTTTAGGAGCTTTTTTTTTTTTTTCACAGATGGGGTTTCACCATGTTGGCCAGGCTGGTCTTGAACTCCTGACCTCAGGTGATCCATCCACCTCAGCCTCCCAAAGTGCTGGGATTACAGGTGTGAGCTACTGAGCCCAGCCAGGAGCTTCATTTTAAGAGTGCCGGTGAGCAGCTCAGATGCAGAAGGTGTCAGCACTGCTGACAATAGAGTTGTATTGTGTACTTAGGGCTTTACATTTACCCAGACCTCCCCTGCAAGCTGATATAGCTCTCATGGTACAAGCAAATCAGAATTAAGGATCTTACTGTTTGTAGCCAACATTGCCACAGAAGCAGTAGAAATGAGGTTGTTTGATTCTCTTTATTGGACTGAAATGACAAGTAAATCTGAATTATTTTTAGGTCATGTACCTAACCTTCTATGTTCACTGTAGCTCTGCTTCTTTTTCCTTCTGGGACTCGGTTATCATCTGTAAAATGGGATAATAAAGCACCTCCCTCATTCATTGTGATATTTCAGAAACTGAAAATGATCAGTACAATATCTAGCATAGAGTAAGGGCTGAAAGAATGCTAGCTGCTATTTTAGGATGATGACAGTCATCGTTATTCTTCCCTTTCTCATTAGTTACTAGCAGTAAGATCTGTCCATTCCCAGGGACCACTGGGATTAGGAGGTAGTTTTATTACCAGCATGGGCACTAATGTGATTGAAATATTCCTTCCCACTTCTATTTTGCTCCTGAAGAAATACTACATTAGGGCCAGGCATGGTGGCTCACATCTGTAGTCCCAACACTTTGGGAGGCCGGGGCAGGAGGATCACCTGAGGTTAGAAGTTTGAGACCAACCTGGCCAACATGGCGAAACTCTGTCTCTACTAAAAAATACCAAAAATTAGCCAGGTGTGATGGCGCATGCCTGTACTCCCAGCTACTCCACAGGCTGGGGCAGGAGAATTGCTTGAACCTGGGAGGCGGAGGCTACAGTGAGCTGAGATCCACAAAATCACATGTGGAAAATGTGTACTGTGTAAAAACTCCTGGGGCTAAAGGAAATGAGATGAAACTGAAATCCCTGGAAAGATTTAGTGTACTCCAGCCTAGATGACAGAGTGAGACTCTCAAAAAAAAAAAATATATATCCTGCATTAGCTTCCTTTTCTCCCATCTAGTGGCACTTCCTGGCTTTCTTATTTTTTACTGTATTTTCAGAGAGAGAAAACTTCCTCCTTCACATATGTCTTTGTGTGTTAAGATGACCCCTTTATGCTTAACTCTCCTTCGACATCCTCTGTTAGACACCAATGTCCTTTTTGGTTTTCTTGTTCTTCCTTGGCAGGGGTTATAATATTAGAGTTAGTTGATTTTAAAAAAAAAGCTTGAATAGTCTTTGAAGAAAGGTCAACACTCAAGAGATTAAGATGTTGTTCACTGAGAAAAGTTCACAAAAAGTAGTGTGTTTAGACTTGAAAACTTCATATAAAGTTGTGTGGGGGCCAGGTGCAGTGGCTCACGCCTGTAATACCACCACTTTGGGAGGCCGAGGCAGTAAGATGGCTTAAGTTCAAGAGTTTGAGACTGGCCTGGGCAACATAGTGAGGCCCAATCCATGCAAAAGAAAAAAAATAAATTAGGTGGGTGTGGTGGCATGTGCCCTGTAGTCCCAGCTGCTCGGGAGGCTGAGGTGGGAGCATCGCATGAGCCCAGGAAGTTGAGGCTGCAGTGAGCTGTGATCCTGCCACTGCACTTCAGCTTGGGTGACAGAGCAAGACCCTGTCTCAAAAAAAAAAAAAAAAATTGTGTGGCTAGGACACAAGACGATGTATGTAGCACTTAACAGCATCAGCATCTGCACATGGTATTTAGTACATAGTGATGGCTGCTACTCCAAGAGCTGTTATCAACATTACTCCTACCTCTTCAGCATTTGTGGGGCCTTTATTATCCACCCTGGGCCATCCCATTTTAAAGAGAGCAAAAAGAAAATTGAATAGACTCCGAAGGAAATCATTTAATGTGATTATGTAGTTGGGAAATAAAACCCTCCTCCTTCAATAAAGAAAGGTTAAATGATTTGGAATTACTTAGAAGACAGAAGAGAAAGCTGAGTAGAATTTTAATCATAGTAGTAAAGCTCCATCAATTTAGAGTCTGATTATTTCAGTTTTGATCATTGAACAGAACAGAATCAGGAAAATAATTTGTTGAGTAAATTAATGGTATACACAAGGTTAAGGATGTTGCTGAATGCTTATTTACTAGAAGTGATTTTAAGCAATTTAGATGTATCAGTGTACGTTTAAAATCTGCAATCTAATTGTGATCTCTCTTAGTCCGTTTGGGCTGCTATAACAAAATACCTGAGTATCTTATAAAGAACATAAATTTATTTATTTATTTAGAGACAGACTTGCACTGTCACCCAGGCTGGAGTGCAGTGGTTACAATCTCAGCACACTGCAACCACCGCCTCCCGGGCTCAAACGATTCTCATGTCTCAGCTTCCCTAGTAGCTGGGACTGCAGGTATGCACCACCAGGCCCAGCTAATTTTTTTGGTATTTTTAGTAGAGATGGAATTTCACTGTATTGGCCAGGCTGGTCTCCAACTCCTGGCATCAAGTGATCTGCCCGCCTTGGCCTCCCAAAGTACTGGGATCACAGGCATGAGCTACTGCACCTGGCCCAGAAATTTATTTCTCACAGTTTTGGAGGCTAGGAAGTCAAGATCAAGGCTCTAGCGGATTTGTAGCTGGAGAGGGCCCACTTCCTGTTTCATAGACGATCTATTCTATGTGTCTTCACATAGCAGGAGAGGCTCCCTTGGTCCTACTTTATAAGGCACTAATCCCATCATGAGGGCTCTGCTCTCATGATGTAAACAACTTCCAAAAGGTCCCACCTATTAACACCTTCATGTTGGTGATTAGGTTTCAACATATGAATTTTGAGGGGACACAAACATTCAGACCATAGCAGGAGCCCTTCCTGCACGGTCATTAAATTATAGTGTGTAGCATATAATGGGTGTTCAGAAAGCTTTACTGAGTAAATTTCCTTTTCGCTCCTACTAAGCAATTCCAGATTACTTATTGTCCAAAGGCAACAATTATAGTAAATTCATTGTTGTTGTTATTTTGTGGATTAAAAATATTTCTGTAATTCAGTATTTTACAAAAGTCCTCATACCTCAGTTCCTCTTTCCGGTACTCTCCCAAATTAGCTGAGGTTTTTTATATCTTCCTTTTATAGGGAGAAAAAATATATAGTAGTGATTCTGAATAATTATTTATTATAAGAACCCTGATTTTGCCTATTTTAGAATTAAATCCTGAGGCAGTTAAAATTTGATTTATCATCAAGTTTCCAGAAGTTAACACTTAAATCATCTCAGCACCACAGATGCAATTGTGCTTAAACTCTGCTTAGCTTGTACTGTGTTATAATGTTACTTTGAAAACTAGTTTTTATAAAGAGTGTTTCTTTACAGTTTGCACTTCTATTTGGCAAAATTTCCTTCCTTAGTTGAAATTATTCTCTGTGCTTTTCCATTATACAGGAAATTTTGGCTTTTATGCCTTGGCAACTGTTTTTCAAATTTATTGACAATTGAGATAAAAATGGGAACTGGCCACAGGTTTTAGAGAATGACTGGCAGTAATCATAGAAGGCTATTAAAATATGCTGCAGGCAACATTTTAATTAACTAAGGCCTTTAGTCTATAGCGATGTACATTTTGTGATCATGTCCTTGTCATATTCTTTTAACACTTGTATTTATTCATATACTAATTTATCTACAATTGGCAAGGGGTCTGTGGGTCATTAGCACAAATTAGCAAGTTGCAGCTATTTATACATGACTTACATAATCATTTTTTCCCTTTTGCTTTTCGCATCATTAGATTTTGGACAATCCTGGAAATTGTACCCTAAACATATGGTCTCTGACACACTAAATTATTCAACTCTGGATCGTCCAGATGTGTATTACAATCTGGGTGCTTGCTGTGTACTCTACATTCAGTTCTCTGGGTTTCTGTATTTGGCATTCTCCCCTTCACGTGAGCACACCTTCATTTAAGTACAGGAGGAAAGCTATATTAACACAATGAATACTTTGCTGTATTTGGCAGTGCAGAGATCCAAGGAGATTAATGATCTTGGCTGCAGCTCTTGTCATACCTTCCCCCACTATGGAAAATTAAATGTCATGTATAACAACTCACTCTCCATTACTTAATTACATGGGAAAAATGTGTACTGTGTAAAAACTCCTGGGGCTAAAGGAAACGAGATGAAACTGAAATCCTTGGAAAGGTTTAGTGCTAGCTGTCAAGCCCCACTGATTAAAAGTAGACTTACCATGGGCTCCACCTTCTGTATCGATTGCACATATGTCTTGTTTTTGTAATTAAAACTATACCATGGCTTGTTATCCTCTGCTCATATCCCTCGAAGATGATATTGCTTGAAATGAATGTGAGTGTCAGAGTCATCTTGAGATGACCATCTGAAGAAGCAACTTAGAGGCCTGTTTTAAAAACCCTTCTTGTGCTCTTGATTTATTAGATCTGGTTTTGATAAATATGAAAAATAAATGTGTGCACAAGCATGAGTTTTACCTTCA